ACAGTCAGGGTGTTGCCAAGGGTAGTGTGGTAACTGTAGCAAGTCATTATCTCTCCAGTTTGCACTTCTATACAGTGAAGAGTTGGGGGGTCCAGACCAGTGGTTTCCAAACCCAATCTCACAGCCAGAATCACTGGGAAAATTTTTCAAAACAGATTTCTAGGTTTTAGTATCTGGGAAATCTGTGTATGTTTTCTTTCCCTTCCCCCCAAGAGACTCTCAGATGATCACTGGCCTACATGATTGTGAAGTCCTTGAAGAAATATGGATTGTCATTCGGTCAGAAAAAGCAAATGGCACCTGCGAGTTTGAACTATGACTGCTTTGAGTTCTAATGTAAAACCAGAGCAGGCATACCGTGGAACTTTTTTTTGGTTTTTCTTCTTTATTTCATGGTCACTTAAAGAAGATGATAGGAATTAAAGTTAGAGGTGTGGGAAGAAATGTGTGTGAGGAGATTCAGCATGGGTGTTAAGACTTTGTCCATATTTTGTACATAAACATGATTTGGGGTGTTGAGCTGCTCTCCTTGGGAATCATGTCACTGGTAGATCCTCAGTGGAGTAACCGTAGAGGGTAGATTAGCATCCTGTCCTTTGCAAATAGGCAGCTGTGGATTTAGTACATTGAGCTGGTGGTCGATGGCTGAGATCAGCTCAAAAACATGGGCAATTGGTTTAACACAAATTATCAAAAGCAAGGAAAAAATCAGGCTAATTAGCTCACTCTTTCTAATTTGAGGAATCTGAGGGTACTAGTTCCGAACTGGGGATGATTTTGCCTCCCAAGGGTTTTGGGCAGTGTTGGAGACATTTTTGGTTGCATCTTGGTGGGGAGGTGCAGCTGCATCTGGTGGGTAGAGGATGGGGAGGCTGCTAAACATCCCACAGTGCCCTGGACGGCCTGTCTTTCCCCCTGCAGAGAGCTTTCCTGTCTGAAGTGTCAGTAGTGTTGAGATTAAGAAATATCCCTTAGAGTAAAAGCATCTCCTTTTGTCCTTAAAGCTTCTTTTCTTTCCTGATTTTTGGGGAGATTGTTTTTTTCCTGTTGGTACTTTCATGCCTAGCAATAGTAGGTTAGATATTTAATTAACTCATCAATGGGGATAATTGAACGTGGACCCAAACATGATTGGCTATAGTTTTGTAGGAGGGATTGTGTATTGGGGGAAGAGTGCAGACTGCCTGCGTGTGACCCTCAGCTCCCCCCTTTCCTGCTGTGTGGCTGGGACAAGTGACTTTATCTCTCTGTGCTTCAGTTTCAGGGATGTTTCAGAATGTCTGACTCATTGGGTTGTTGAGAAGCTAAACTTGAGTGTTCGCATAGTTTTGTTGCACAGTAAATGTTCAGTAATGGTGGTATTATCACAGTGTAAATACTGGGAGAATATAGGCACTTGCTGTGATGGTTTGGAGTGGGTGTAACAGGCCTACGTCCATGTCCCAGGTGCAAACAGAGGTTCTTCAGAAGAGGCAGCGGGAGAAAGCTCACATGATGAATGCCATTAAGAAATACCAGAAAGGTCAGTATTTCTCTCTCCTAAGGATACAGGGGGCAGGGTCCCTGCTAATTCTGACACCCAGTGTTCTGAAGAATTGATTAATTTGGAGCTATTGGACGTAGGGTTTGGGAAGGGTGTAGGGAACAAGATGTGCCTCTTAAAATCCAGTAAGCAGCAATCTTCTTTTGAAGTTTAAGCTTTTCTTAAAATGCGATGGCACTAATCAAATACAGTTCACTCCTAGGCTTCTCTGACAAACTGGATTTCCTTGACGGAGATCAGAAACCTGTTGCACGGGGCTCGAAGGAAGGAGCTAAAGGCCAGCAGATGAAGAAAGGGTATGAAGTATTTGTTTTGTTTCGTTTTGTGGTGTGTGCTGGGCAACAGCTCACGAGTATAGGGGCTGCCATAGGAGCAGCTGCAGGGTTCAGAGCGTGGCACTGCTGCCTGGGACCCAGTCTTACCAGGCTATGTGATGGTCCTTTCAGCCATATCAGTCTTTGAAGATTAAAGTAAGATGACTTAAGGATTTGGCACATTTGAGTGAATGTTTAATAAAACAGTGTGATGGTTAAGAGTACGGTTAAGAGTTCAGATCCAAACTCTGCCCCTCATTGGGAGGGTAGCTGTCATCAAGTTACTTTATTTTTTTTAAGTGTTAATTTCCTCTTCTATGAAAAGGAGAAAATTGTATGTGCCTCATGCTGTTATAAAGATTAAAAGGGATAATGTTGGCTATTATTATTATTACTTTTAGTTCACTTATGCATTCCTGGACACCAGGCCCACGGTGATGATCCTGGAGGAGGATCCCACCTGAGCTTAGTCTGAAAGATGAGTAAGAATGAACCAGAATAGGAGAGGCTCAGATTTGGGGAATACGGAAGAACACGGATGAGCAAAAGCTTAGAGATGAGGACAGCAGGTTGGCCTGTGAGGAGCAGCAAGCATTTGGTATCACTGGGAATACAGTGTGAGACAAGGAGTGGCAAGATGTAGCTGGAGGGGACCCGGCCAAGTCACAGAGGCAGAGATTGTCTTGTTGAGAAGCCTGGGTTTTAGCCAATAGGCAGCGGGGAGACGATGATGGGCTTTCCTCAAAATAATGTGCAGGTCATAGTCACATTTTATTTTATTGTTGAAAGTCTTACAGATATCCCCCATAGTCATGTTTTTATTTTTTTCCATAGTCATGTTTTTAAAAAATATTATTGTGGTTCTTGTGTAAATGATAGTCTTGAGAGAGGCAGGAAAATTAATTAGGGACTATTGAAGTCCAGATGAGCAATGATAATGACCTGAAAGTGGTCATGGGAGTAGGGAAGGGATAATAGATTGAAGGAATATTCAAGAGCTCAATTAGCAGGACTCGGTAATTGAACTGGGTGTAGAGAGTGAAAGAAGGAAGAATTAAGGCTGACTCCCAGGTTTTAGTTCACCTTTGATTTAGTCTGGTGTCTGGGTGGATGGCAGTACCACCACCCTCTTAGGGCATATGCACAGGAGGCGAAACCAGCCCAGGAAGGGAGAGAAGTGATTTTGGAATGCTGAATCTGAGATTCCTGCGGGATGACCAGTTTTAAGATTTATTACATTTGAATGTTAACTGCATGTATATATCCCCGAGAGGAGTAGAAACAAATGAGGATGATTTAGCAAGATTGAGTTAAAATAGAAAGCTTTTCAAAGCTTTCCTGGTCCTTGCTTTGTTTTCCTGCTCTGGTGGTTAAACCTGTAAATAGATGAGCTTGCCTGGGGAGTTTGTTGAGTGGGAATGTAGGGCTAAGGATGAGATTCTAGGGGACAGAGTATCTACCAACAAACAAAATACTGAGGGTGTTGTTGGGGCATAAGATTCATCAGGATTTGCAGGGCTGAGGGTAACTTGTAAAACCACTTCTTCCCCAGTCCCAATGCCAAACGACGCTATAAAAACCAGAAGTTTGGGTTTGGTGGTAAGAAGAAAGGCAGCAAGTGGAACACTCGTGATAGCTACGATGATGTATCCAGCTTCCGGGCCAAGAAAGCTCATGGCAAGGGCCTCAAGAGGCCTGGAAAGAAAGGATCAAATGTAAGTGAGCCTGGGGACCAGGTGAGGGGCCGGACTCATACCCACCCGCTCCATTCCTTTTTCTGTGCATCCTGATCATGGGCAGAAGGCCAGGCTGCCGTGTGACCACATGTGGTGTTTCTTTTTCTCTAGAAGAGACCTGGGAAACGGACAAGAGAGAAAATGAAGAGCAGGGCACGCTAAGCAGCATCTCCAAGAAAAAGGATGAAGACTTGGGATTTCACAATACAATTGGGTCCCTTTTTGTAAAAAAATTTTCAATAAACAAAAAAATTACCAAAGAAGCATAAACCCTTGGGTGAAAACACAGTTAAGACTAAAAGATTTAGAAGTTACTTTTACATATTAAATAATACTTCTATTTATTGATAATTTAGACGTTGAGTCCAAGTTGTCTTTTTATGATTGATGAAGGTTTAACACCCATCCATCCTCCCAAATAGTTGCATCATGATTTGAGATAAATCAGTTATCAGTGTTTATATCATTAATATCCTTTAGCAATCACTGGAGAGCTAGATGAGCTATGATAATATTTCCTTTGTGGTACAGTTTTTGTTTTTTTCTTGGGTTGTCACCTTGTTTTTTTGTGTGTGAACTAAATTTTCCTTCTATATTAACTTCTTTCTAGACGTTTCATTTTACCGATATAATTTTCCTGCTGTAACCCAGGTCTGTCTGTCAAACAGCTGTCACCTTATCCCTTTTTAGACCTTCTAGGTTGAATCCACTGGATCCCGCACTCTCCTGTGTCTTAGGCCTCCTTTTGCTCTGTACCGTTTTCTAGTATCTTTCTAAGAAAGGGAATGTGGGAGGTGAATTTCCTACCTCTTTGCATGTCTTAAGTTGCCTTTAACTTGGTGGATATGCCTCAGGGAAAGGATGTTGCAGGCATGCTTTGTCCCGTGGCTCCAGTGTTGCCACTGAGAAGCCCACGCCCTTCCAGTTCTCATTGTTGTCTCTGGAAGTGTTCACCCTGTCATCTGAATGCCATCGGCCATGCCTTGGGGGCGCCTTTGAATAGGGTGTTTGGAAGAATGTGCGCTCTTTCGTTCTGGTAAATTTCCTAAAGGATTGCTTCCCCCTGTTTTCTTCTCATTTTGCAATTTCTGTTAGTCAAATGTTAAAATCTGATGATCTAAGTGTGTGTTTATATTTAAATTCTCCTTTGGGGGAAGATTTCTTTGATTCTTTTTTAAAAATATATATTTTATTGATTTTTTACAGAGAGGAAGGGAGAGGGATAGTTAGAAGTATTGATGAGAGAGAAACATCGATCAGCTGCCTCCTGCACACTCCCTACTGGGGATGTGCCGCAACCCAGGTACATGCCCTTGACCGGAATCGAACCTGGGACCTTTCAGTCTGCAGGCCAAAGCTCTATCCACTGAGCCAAACCAGTTAGGGCTGATTCTTTTTTTCTGATCATTTTATTGAATACTTACTTTAGCATTCATTTTTCAGTTTATACCCAAGAGTTTACTTCTAATTGACTCTTTCTCACATCATTTTACTCTCATTCTCTAGATGTGGTTTCCAGTCATCTCTCTCAGAAGATGAGTTATAGTTTTGGTTTTGAAAAGAGGTTTCTTCTGTTCCCTTCATCCTATTACCTTGGGATTCCCTGAACCCCTCTCTGTGCATTTGTGTTTCCCTTTTCATGTTGAGTTTCTAGTGTTGGGGTCCAACCCCAGCAGGTCCAGGGGTTCCCAAAGGTGTGGACAGAGTCGGTGAAGAAGGAATGACATGGAGACAGCGTTCAGTTGATCGGCAGCCTAGCCAGGTTCTCTAGCCAGGTTCTATCTTTATTGTCCTGTTACATCTGTATTTATACCAGTTCATTTTAATTCTATCCATTCTATTCCAAAGATTAGGGCGTTTGTTAATCTAGTTCTGTTGAGTTTAATCCTATCCATTCTATTCCAAAGGTTAGGGCGTTTGTTAATCTAGTTCCGTTGAGTTTAATCCTGTCTAGGTTAATCTCTGTGTTCCATTATAAGGGCTATTCCAAGGTCACTGCTCTACTGATAAGCTACAAGGAAGTGACTGAAGGAGATTATATCCTCCCAGCCTCACTGCTTGCCTTCCCTGGGACTGCCCTATGTCGGTGGGTCTCCAGGGGTATAGGCTTTGGTGCTTTCCCTGGTGGGCAGACCCCTGGAGATGTGGGCCCAACAAGTCCCAAATTTATTGCCAACAGTCTTAGTCCAAGTTCTTCATAAGTAGTACATGGTATTTCTGTAACACTAGGGGGTTTCACTGATTTATTCTCTTCCTTAGTCCTGTTAATCCCTAACTCCAGGGAAAAAAATCCCCATCTGGGGAAACAACCTTTCTCAGAGAGGTGACCTTGGTTAAAACATATAGCACTAAGGAGGGGAGCAAACATATTAAGAACAGTATGCCATATACGCCAGGTCCCTTGAAACATGCTGTGCAGATGTTTCTTCCCTGTAGTGACTGTGTCAAGCAGCAAGGATGGACCGGCTTCCGGCATTCTAATACAAAAAAAAGTGAATTTAGCTTTTGTAAACTAATTTCACATAAAATTCTGAGTAAAGAGGCCATATTTTCAGAAGATGAAATTATTTCCCCCTGACTTGTTTTTGATTGTCTGTACAATATTAGCAAATGGGGTAAAGCATAGTATTTCAAACAAGGAGCCTTGGAATTCGTTAGAAACTTTGAATTATGTTTGGAAGATGTTGAGAGTTTTAAGAAAGAACATAGGTTCTTCTTTTCACAAAGCATTTCACAAAGGTAAGGCCAAAAGTAAGTTATTACTGCTATGTACATTTTAGCCCTCAAAGTGTAATCAAGGTGCAGGCACTGTCCTTCCTCATGTTCTTTAGAATATCACCTTCATGCAATGCAAGGTAGCAACCTAGCAGTCCCCAGGACAAGCTGTTCTTGGTTTGTTCAGTTCCAATATCCATGGGTTTCAGTTATCAAGTGCAATTAAGTAATAGTTTTTCAACAACACTGTTCAAATTTCAGTTGTCAAAGTATTGTTAACTGTGAGAACTTGAAGAAAGCAGTAACTTCTATTAGCCTTTCAGTCCCAAATCACTTCATGAATTACAGATGAGATGCATACGATTACAAAGTCTAGGTGATTGGTCACCGCACAGACAAGCAATGTGTGGAATTGTGTTGCCTCTGTTTTGCCCAGCAATGAACCTGCATGGCATTTTACAAAAGTAGATAATTGAGAGAATTGATGAATGAAGATGAAAGTGCAGTAAAGAAGTGGAAAGTGATAAGACTAGAAGCAAAATTTGAAAAGCATGCAAATGGAGTTGAAGTCAGCCGAGGTGAGCATGGTGACACTGCTGTCATTCGAGAGCAGCTGTGCAGCAAGCACTGGGGGACATAATGAGGAAGGCGATGAAGGTGTCCCAGCAATAGCGACACTGGAAAAATCTCATGGAAGGGACTCTAGGAGATACTTGGTCACATTGAAAATAGAAATGATAAAATGTTGGAAACCAAATGTAGAAACAAGCAAGGCAATTTGCTGGCGAGTAGAAATGATGCCTGCTCCATGTCACGTACAACAAAAAAAAAAAGAAGGCAAGCACTTTTTTTTACAAGAAACATTTGATCCTCAATGTTTTATGTTTTCGTTATGCATTTAACAAGATGTTTAATAGTTCGACAAAAATTGAAAAATTTATTCATCATGAATATATTTTGAGGAAAGCATAAAAAGTGGGTTAATTGATATGTAAAGAGGTGAGGCTATTCGTGATCCAGTGTAAATTGTAAGAGCAGGTTCCAGATTCTTTTCATCATAACGTCCTTAGCTCTGAAAGTGAAAGTGCTGCTCATGGTGCTCCTGCTTGTGTTTCTTTAAATAGAGCAGCCACATTTCACCTTCCCAATATCACCAGAGAGAAAAAGAGAGAGAGAACTTACTTTGTTCACCGGCTTCTCTAAAAAGACACAGTCTTCACTTTGCACAGTAGGGCAGGACCACGAAGTGACCACTTGCTGGAACCATGCAAAGTGATCTTAATGAATTTTGACATTTTTTTAAATGTTGGGGGTTGTGCAAGGAGCTTCCATGCCTCTCTGGGCTCACCACCCTCCCAGCACCACGAAGTGGTGGCAAACACAGAGAAGCCCTGTAGTTAGCAGGGTTTATGGAGGATTCACCATGTAGGCACGACTGATTAAATCATGACCATTAGTGAGAAAGTCCATCTTCAACCCTTAGTCTCTCCTCAGAAGTTGGTGGTGGGACTGAGAGTTCCAAGGTTCTAAGCAAGGCTTAGTCCTGCTGGTGAGCAGCCCCCATTTCAGATCTACCTAGAGAGACTGCCAAGGGTCAACTCGTTACAACAAAAGCATTCTTGTCACTGCTATTACATAGGAGACTGCTGGGGGTTTAGGAGCTCTGTGTTATGAACCAGAGAAAGGAAATATCTTTCTATGAAACCATGCCACCCCCTGGTGTTTGACCATGGATCCCTTAGAGCAGAGATTTTCAACCAGCGTCCTTCAAGAATTTTTAAAACGTGCAATACCTGACTATTTCCCTTAGTCAGTGGTTCTCAACCTTCTTGCCCTTTAAATACAGTTCCTCATGTTGTGACCCAACCATAAAATTTTCGTTGCTACTTCATAACTAATGTTGCTACTGTTATGAATTGTAATGTAAATATCTGATATGCAGGATGGTCTTAGGCGACCCCTGTGAAAGGGTCGTTCGACCGCCAAAGGGGTCGCGACCCACAGGTTGAGAACCGCTGCCTTAGGTTGTCAAATTAAAAAATGAAAACAGTCAACACACCAATAGCTGTCTGGTGTGAATGAATCAAAATTATACCTATTTTTTGTCAGATTGGAAAAAATCTTTTTTGGTGTGCTGCAGAATTTTAGTAGTTTGTGTGTGCCATGAGGTGAACAAGGTTGAAAATTGCTGCCTTACAGCAAAAGGATCTTGTCCCATTTCTAGATCACCACACAGGCATTAAGAATTAGCCTGGTCCATGATATTGTATGAAGATGTCTCCCGGGAGAGGCCTCGCAGCTTTGCGGGCTTTCACTCGGCAGCGTGAGGCTCCCAGCGCAGGAGTCATTTCAGCAGCAGATGGCTTCACCCTTCCAGCAGCCAAGTGGGAGAGAGACACAGGGCCTCGCTCTGAAACTGCAGCATAATTACGGCCTAGGGCGGGGGAGGGAGCATGGAGCCTCCGTGTCCTCCCTGGGTGTACCCCTCTCCCAACACCTCCCTGTTCCCAGACTGGCCATTCCCTGGCTCTTCTAAAGGATCTTTAAGTGGGTCCGCGTGGGGGTCTTTTTTTAGAGCTGTTCTATTTTTCCAGAGAGGATTCCATTAGCTTCAAACCCTGGGCAAAAATGCAGGGTTTT